GCCTCCGGTCTCCTTCCTCGAGATGGTCTCACAGACTGCCAGGTAGCCTCTACACCACTTGCCTACGACGTTCGACTTACTCCTCATGATGGCTCTCTTCTTGATGACCCTACCCTCTATCGTCAACTTGTTGGGAGCTTGATCTACTTGAGTGTCACTCGACCAAATATCACTCATGAAGTTCATATTGTGAGTCAGTTCATGGCCGCTCCGAGGAACTCTCACCACTCTGCCGTCTTACATATTCTTCGTTACGTGAAAGGTACTCTTCTGCATTGTTCAAACTTTTTCTGTCACCCGTCTTTGACTCTCAGCAGTTACTCTAATGCTGATTGTGTTGGTGATCCTACTGATCATCATTCGAGCACTGGTTTCTGATTTTTCCTGGGTGATTCTCACGTCTTTTGGTGCAATAAGAAGCAACCTTTAGTTTCTCAATCGAGTACCGAGTCCGAGTATCGTGCCCTTGCTGATTCTATGTCAGAAGTTTTATAGCTTCGTCAATTACTCACTGATCTTGGTGTTCCTCAGTCATCTTCTACGGCTCTTCACTGCGACATTCAGAGTGCTTTGAAGATGATCCACAATGATACCTTTCACGAGCGCACCAAAAATATTGAGCTTGATTGTCACTTCATTCAACAACATGTTGTCGGTGGTGTTGTCCATCTCGTTTCGGTCTCCTCCGTAGATCAGATAGCAGATATCTTCACCAAGTCTCTTTTTCCAAGCCGCTTCCGATTGCTCTTGGACAAACTCAAGTTGGTTTCTATAGCACCCACTTGAGTTTGAGGGGGATGTTGAGATAATTTAAATATTTGATTTTAGATTTAGTAGATTTATATTTAGATTTGGTCTTATCTATAGATTATATTACTTATGTTTGAGTGTATCGAGTCTGATTTATATAGTTAAAAACATATCATTATACATATAATTACTTTATACATAAAGTCAAGATCAAAATATCAAAAATTATTACACTTCCACTAATTAATAAAATATTATTATTTCTTAATCTACTACAAAACCTCAAAGGGTCATTTTGATTACATTAGGAACAAAAGAAATAATATTTCATGTTAAGTTATTTTAATTTTCTACGAGCTGATACTATATACGCCTAAAACAATACGTATACTCCCTCCGTCCCGCTGCAAGGTTGTCATTGACTTTTTGCATGTTGATCTTTGAATATTAAATATTATATCAAGACGTAGTACAAATCGAGAAGAAAAGACAAGAATATGTTTATTAGTCTCTTATAATACCAATACAATGATATTTTTAGAGTAAATTATTCAAATATAAGAATATTTTTAATGTAAGTATAATGACACAAAAATCAAATCGCAACCTTGCGGCAGAGGACGGAGTGAGTATTATAATTTTAAAATAATATTTACGCAAAATTGTGTCACCTAAAACAAAGTGAACAAATTTGAGTTTTTTAATATTTAATTTTGACAATAAATAATTTTTCTATAAATTTTTAATATTTTTATTTTTTTATTAATGGGATAAATGATAAAAAAAATAATGTCAATTAAGAAAAAATACGGTTTGTTCACTTACTATTTTTAAGTGGAATGATTCTTCGTAAATATTATTAAAAAATACAATATGCATATAGTAACAAAATATATAATATATATTTTATTTACTTAGTTTGTTTACTTGTAAGATTTTGATTTTAAATATTAAAATTTTAAAATGAAATGGTTTTGTGTGTTGTATTATGCGAAATAAAAAACCCCTTTTTACATCTGTCTGTGGTTTAAGAAGAGTCGTAAAACAACTTCGTTCATTTGTCTACCAATATTCAATGGCAACAACTATAGTTACTAGAAAAATATGATAAACGCTTACTTGTTAACGCTTGGTGAAGAAAAATGAGAAGCTGTACAACTTGGTTGGACTCCTTCAACCAAAGTTGTACCTCAAGAAATTGAATGACCCTTCAACTATTGTTTTGAAGTCGAAGAGGTAGAATGGGTGGGGGAGGTCGGCCGGTGGTGTACCTTTTTTTAAAATAAAAAGAAAATATTCTAATTTTAATTATTACTCATAATAGTTTATAATATTTAAATTATAATTAATTTAAATTGTTACATAAATATATTAATTTTTTAATAAAATAATCTTTTATTAACATAATTATTACGGCTGTGTTTGTTTTGTGAGATTGTTGAAAAGTAAATTTTTTGATATGAAGTATAGAAAATTGTGTAAAAAATATAAAAATAATGAATATGTTTAGTTTCATTAATTTTCTTGGAAAAACCCGTGGAAGAAATAATAGAACAAAGCCTACAAAATTTAAATTTCCAAACTAAAAATATTCTATATTTAATTATTACTCATAATATTTTATAATATTAAAATTTTAATTAATTCAAACAATCACATCAATACATATTTTTAAATATAATAATATTTCTATTAGACTAAACATTACAAAATTGAAACCTCCAAACAAACATAACTTAAAAATTCTTACTTCAAAATATTTAAAAATTCAAATTCAAAGTCCTAACCTCCAAACAAACACACTCTACGTGGAATTAACGCCCATGTAGAGAAACACAAGTTAGTAATAACACTTGTAAATTACGCATATGGACACATATAATAACCTAAATCACCATGGCTCGTACATCAGATGTATTAATACAATGAAGCAAGCGACAACACGTGCCATTTTTTTTTAATCGTGATCCTGATGTATGAAAATTTCTTCTGAATGATATATATTTCAAGAAGGATAGTTACAAAGCCCACAAGGTATTCTGTGCTGTTCGAGAAGCTAGCGAATTCTTTGGCGACACCGATTGCAATGACCCTCAGCACCACCAGATGACAGCAAGAAGTCCCCACCTCCATCCACAGATTAAGCAGGAGCCTCAAGATCAGTTTCACCAATCACGGCGCAGCTTCGACAGCCCTCATTGTCATCTTATCGAAGAACCTTCAGCATTTCTTGAGGAATGGTGACCGTGGCGACGTCTAGGCTGTATTGTTCATTTCAGGCCGCTGGACAATAGGTGGAATGAATGATCATCATGCCGTGCCTGTGGGCGATTACAATCAAATAATATTGATTGTTTTGGGTCTGAATATTTCATCCCCTCACTATGAAACTCAATGATAGATTATTTGTGGATAGATTAAAATGACAAAATAAATAGATAAATAAATAATGGTCTAGTGAAGCATTATTTTTTCTAAGAAAATTTAGATGTAATATATGCAATAATATAAAAGTAATATAAAATATTTATAGAATATATTTAAATAAAGCAAAAATATCACTGACAGATCAAATTTTATTATAATAACATTATACAAATAACTAATATATTATCTGCAATGACACATTTTAAAAATATTTTGTCAAAAACATAAATAAAATGCTACCAACAAATAAATGTAAAACAGTTGGATGCCGAAAAAGATTGTTTGCTCACAGTCAGAGTTGTCTTCTTTCGAAAATAAACAAATCGATAATTCCAAAGATCAAATAGAACAAAATAAAATTGAACTGACCAGAAGCCGCCATAATCTCAAAGATAACGACCAGCCCGGCCCAGGGCCCATTTTCTTTAGGGGCCATATAGGAGCCCCAAAATATATCTATATATCTATATATATATATACTCTTATATACTAATATATAAATATATACTATTATTAGTGAATGTTTTATAATTTTTAAATAAAAAAATTTATTTCATATTATTTTTTAAATAAATTATGTTTATATTAATTTTTTTAATTATTTATTTGTATATTTTAGTGTGTTTATTTAATTGTATGATTTTATATATTTTTTTTTGTGAATTACGTAAAATTATGAAGATATGATTGGAGAATAATATTTTGTGTGTTTTTTATATTTTTATTTTTTATTTTATATATTTAAATTTTTACATTCTATTATATTTTTTGTAATATTTTTAAAGAAATGTGTATTACATAAACATTGGGTTTATTTCTTTACCGAAAAGTTTTTCAATATACTTTTTTCAAAAAAATTAATATACTACACAAACTACTTATAATTATATTTTTTACATAATATGTTATACCTTACATCAAAAAAAAAAAAAAATTCAAACCAAAATACAAAACAAAACACCCTAAATAAACACTTTTGTTGGAAAATTTTCTTTCAAAGGTTTTGACTATTTATAAAAAATTTCTTTAAAAAATATTAAATCCAGTATTTTTTTGAATTATTTATTAATTATACTATAAATTAATTTTATACTTAAAAAATGCCATATTAATTTTATATATAAATTTTGATCTTTTAATATAAAAAATTAATTTTATTTTTACATTTACATGTATAAAATTATTTTTGTTATTATGCTAATATAAAAATATATATTTAGAGTTCCACTATTTCAATTTTGCCCGAGACCTAAAAAATGTCAAGAACGGACCTGACGACGACAATAGATTATTAATAAACAAATGACACACAAACCTAATTTTAGGATCTTCACTAACTTCAATTCTACACCTCTCAACTTCTTTGTCAATTTCAACTACCAATTTATCCAGTTCCACCAATTCTCACAGTTTTCCTCTTTTATCACACTGAATCTGAACTGGACCAGACCATCCATTGTTTCGACTTCAATTTTTTATTGCTCTCCCACATTAAAAGCCTAATTTATACCCTTCCCCAATTTCCTAAAGTTGCTCCACCAAGATAAATCTAAGAACATAAAACTATCTCTTTCTATGTTTTCGAGTGATTTTGGAATTAATCATGTCGAATTTGGGTGCAGCTTCTGAGCAATTCAAGCCTGTGGTAAGGCAAAAGAGATCCCACTCAGATCGAGCTCCATAGTGTGCACGAAAACCTTATCTTTCAAATATAAAAAATTACCCTAAATTTTCAGTCAGATTAATATGACGATCAACAAGAAACTCGATAAATTAATCAATTAAAATCTTAGTGATGTGTTAATTGTTTCATTTTTCTGTTTTTGGGCCATATCCTAATTCAGAAGCCGTCAGCAAGAACCCTACTCGCGACTAATCAATGCGTCTGCAAGATTTGCAACAAGGGTTGTCAAAGGGGTTAGAATCTGCTATTGCACAAAAGAGCTCACAATTTTTTGGCAAGATTGGAAAGGAAGGGGACAAAGTGTTCAATGAAATACGCTTGACATGCGAGAGGAAGGAGGACTACTGTCGTGGCGGAACCCTATTTACAAGGTGAGTTTATGTTGTTTTTGTTCTTGTTTGTGTTCATTGTTAGGGTTTGTCTGTTTGATTGAACGTGATTTAAGGTGTTTAGGTATTATGTGTAAACTAAATTTGGCAGCCGCAGTAGTACTCCTGGGTCTTGCACGTCGTCTTGCATTGCTCCTTCCAATCCGACTTCATGGTGTACTTATTCGAGCACTTGGTGCACTCCCACATCTTCTCGCAATGCTTCCGCCGGTCGTGATTCTTGATCCCGGTAAAGTCCCCCAATGACATCTCCGGACTATGGTGCAGGCCGCTACTCTTCGGGCAGAAGTAAAAGTGCATGTTGATTAATGTGCTATGATGATCTGATTTATGGTTTTTATTATATTTTCTAGACTCTTGGTTTATAAGAGATGCAATTAATTTATTATGTCTAGAAAGGTCTTCCACCTAGAATAAAAGTGTGCTAATGTAAGTAAATTAAAAATATGAAATAATATTCGGTCTTCCTCCTTGGTTCACCTATTATTCAATTAAAAAAAAGTGGTATCAGAGCACTATGTTTATTCTTTTTCTATCCACTTCAACATTTACCTTTCAAAATGTCCAACACAAGTGATGTACAACCAATTCCCATTTTTTCTGGAGAAAATTATTACCACTGGGTGGTGAAAATGAAAACGATACTCATCTCCAAGGATTTGTGAAAGTATATTGAAGATGGGTTTGAAGAACCTCAAGACCCAACGACTTTGGATGATGCAGCACGAAAAATATTGAAGGAGAATCGAAAGAGGAATGCAAAAGCTCTCTCGTTTATCCAACAAGGTCTATCGACGGAGTTGTTCTCAAGATTATGAAAGCAACCACCGTGAAAGAAGCTTGGGAGATCCTTCAAAAGGAGTTCCAAGGCGACTTGAAGGTAAAAAATGTTCATCTTCAAACAGTTAGAAGGAAATTGGAGATTTTTAAAAATGAAGGAATCTGAAGGTGTTCAGAATTACTACACTCGGTTGATGAGTATTATTAATCAAATGAGATGGCTTGGTGAGGAAATTAGAGATAGCAGAGTGGTGGAAACAATTCTGGTTAGTTTGCCTCCCAGTTATGATAGCATGGTCACTTTCATTGAAGAAACTAAGGATATTCCATCATTGACGATCGAATATGTGATGGGTTCGTTAAAAGCCTATGAAAAGATAATAGAAAGACACTCCGAAAAATCAATCGATAGTGCTTTCCAAACTAAGCTAAATTTGGGTACTAAAAAAGGTGAAAAAAAAAGTGAAAATAGTGATAACAAAGGGGGAAGCAGATATGGTGGTGGACAAGGTCGAGGCTGAGGAAGAAGTTCAAGAAGTGGACCAAGACACAATGTCGATGGAAAAAGGCAAGCCTTTGATTGAATAGGGAACTCAACCGATTCCCAGAATTGTATAATTTGTGGGAAAATTGGTCATCGTTCGGATGATTTTTGGTTTAAAGGCAAGCCAAAATGTTACCACTGTAAAAAATTCGGTCATAAGGAGAAAGATTGCAAGAGCGAAAATCAGCAGCAGTCGGCCCATTTTTCTGAAGGGAAAGTTAAGGGAATTTGTTTTATGCTTGTCAAAGTGTAGCGGAATACAAGAATGATGTATGGTACGTGGACAACGGCTGTAGTAATCATATGACGGGAGATAAATAAATTTGTGTGGATATGGATAGCTCCATAGACTCACAAGTGAAGATGGGAAATGGAGCTGTATCAAAGGCGCTTGGAAAAGGTACAATTTGTGTGCAAACAAAGAAGGGGGCGAAGTACATTCGTGATGTTTTACTTGTTCTAGAATTGGATCAAAATTGGTTGAGTGTTGGGAAACTTGTGGACCATGGATATACCATAAATTTTAAGGATAGTTTCTGTAAAATATTTGATAAAAGTGATGCACCACAGCTAGTCGCCTCAATTGAGATGGAGAGAAATAAAAGTTTTCCGCTTGTTTTCAAGTATGGAGGAAATGTCGCCATGAATGCTCACACACTTGAAAATTCGTGGTTATGGCATAAAAGACTCAGGCACTTGATTCCACTGTGTTGGGACTCCCGTTTGCGGATATATGAATAATGACTGAGTTTCCCTAACAATTTGAGCTTTTAGGTGAGACGGTCATTAAGCATCCGACATGGTATCAGAGTCTGGCTAGGTCTTGAGTTCGAGTCCCACCGTCCCCATTTGTGCGCATATGCATGTCCAAGTTTCGTATACCTCCACTTCCACCTGAGGGGGCGTGTTGGAACTCCTGTTTGCGGATATATGAATAATGGTTGAGTTTCCCTAACAGTTCGAGCTTTCAGTTTCGTATACCTCCACTTCCACCTGAGGGTAGTAAGTGAACGAAAGAACCAAACGGTGGTGGAGATGAGCAAGTCCATCATTCACACAAAGGGATTGCCAAAAGATTTACTTGATTAATAGAAGTCCCACAAAGGCCATATACAACAAAACTCCATTCGAAGCTTGGAGTGGAAGAAAGCCATCGTTGAGGCACTGGAAAAAGCTAGTGAAAAACTTTGAAAAATAACAAAGTTATAATTAGCCGTGATATTTTATTCGACCAGATATTATTGGACTTAAATGGGTGTTCAAAGTGAAGGTGGATCCAGATGGTTCAATCAAGAAAAAGAAGGCACGATTGGTTGCTAAAGGCTACTCACAACAGCCCGGAGTAGATTTTAATGAAACTTTTGCACTAGTAGCCCGACTCAACACGATTTGAGCTCTTATCTCCATAGCAGCTCAAAGGATTAGAAACTTTATCAATTGGATGTCACAACAACGTTCTTGAATAGAGAATTACAAGAGGAAATCTATGTTGAGCAGCTACAAGGTTTCTTGAAGAAAGGGGATGAAGACAAAGTATACAAATTGAAGAAAGCATTGTACGGGTTGAAGCAAGCGCCTCGCGCTTGGTACAAAACTATTGATGCTTATTTTGAGAGTAATATGTTTCAAAAGATCAAAAGTGAGCCGACTCTATACGTGAAGACCCAAGGTAAATCTATTCTCATTGTTGCTCTTTATGTTGACATTTTGCTCTATACGGGAAAGAGTGAAGAGATGATTCTTGAGTTTAAGAAAGATATGATGAAGAGATATGAAATGAATGATATGGGTCTTCTACATCATTTCCTTGGAATGGAAATTAATCAAAATGGTGAAAGAGTGTTTCTTTGTCAAAAGAAATATGCTGAGAATATTTTGGTTAAGTTTGGAATGGATGATTGCAATCCTACCGAAAGATCTCTTGTAATTGGTAAAAAATTGTTGAAAAATGATGGCACAAAGAAAGTGGATGCTTCTCTTTACAGGATTTTGGTTGGAAACTTGATGTATCTTACATATATGAGGCCAGATACTATGTTTTCTGCAAGTTTGTTGTCAAGGTTTATGCACGATCCAAGCCAAAATCACTTGGGGACAGCAAAACGGGTTTTGAGGTATATTAGAGGTACTACAAATTTTGGAATCAAGTTTGAGAAAAATTCAATTGTTAAGTTGTATTGTTATAGCGATAGTGATTGGGAAGGTTGTGTGGATGATATGAAGAGCACCTCTGCCTATGCATTTTCTCACGGTTCGGGTGTGATTTCATGGTCATCGAAGAAGCAAGAATTTGTGGTGCAATCAACAACTGAAGCAGAGTATGTTTCAGCTGCTATTGCAACATCCCAAATCATTTGGCTTCGAAGGATTTTGGAGGATGTCGGTGAGATCCAAAAGGAGGCGACTATATTGTTCTGTGACAATAAATTGGCAATTTCTATGGCAAAAAATCCAGTTTATCACAGTCGCACTTGTCACATCGCGATCAAGCATCATTTTATTCGTGATGTTATTGAAGGAGGTGAGATGGAGCTCAGCTATTATAGGAGTAACAAGCAAGTTGCAGACATCTTCACCAGAACACTTCCTATAGAGATATTTCATCAATTAAGAGAGCGCCTTGGAATTGTGGAAGCACAGCTACTCATGGGAAGAAGTAATATGTGTTGAATTGTTGGCACTGGAGGAGCGCATCGGAAATGTGTGCACTGGACTAAGAGAAGACAATAATGGCCTGCATGAAGCAACACTAATATGTGAATTAAAGAGCTGGTCAAGCCAAGCAAGAGCCTTGCAGTATATGCAGCTGCAGAAGATGTTGGAACACTCGAATGTGGGCATCAATTTCATCGGGACTGCATCAAAGAATGGTGTTGCTTAATCAACGGGTTGTCTACTTGAGGCTTGGTAAGATTAATGATGAGTTCTTTTTTTCATTTAAAAACAAATATATATATATATATATTGAAGTGTCTCATATTGTTAGTTTTTGGTAACTCTCTCTTCTTTATAATGTTTAATTAGGTATGTGTGTAATGCACACGCGCCTTGGCGTTTTCTTATTGCTTGATGAGTTCTTTTATAGTTGGTTATGTTGTTTCTATTTGAATTCATTGTTGGGGGGTTTTTGGTTTAAATGAATGTCATTGAATGTGTTTACACGCTATGTGTGTAAGGATTTATGCATGCGCGTAACACACACGTGGATGGCTCTTGTATATTGTTTCAGTTTTTTGTTGGCATGTTATATTGTGTTTCTTTGAGTTTAATTTTATGGTTTATTGGTTTGATTGAATATAATTGTAGGCATTTATGTGTTATATTTGCAAGGGTTTATGTACGTGGGTAATGTGCACATTCCTGGCGTCTCTATCTGTGTATTTATATAAGTGCATGGTGGACTAGTGCCTAGTGTATTGATGTGCTTTCATAACAGCGTAAGATACACTTACCTAGTATGTTATATACTTATGTAAATTGTATATATACATTTGATGTAGATGTCCTTAATATATCTGTTGATGCTGATTTTCAACAATAAAAAGTAAAATTTAAAAATAGAGATTATCTTCGAATTTGATAAACTAAATGCCTGAGATTAAGAATCTCTAGACACCGTACGATACATAAATAAACTAGGAAAATAAAAACTACAGACTGAAAAAGTAAGTGGTGATCCCCAAAAGCAATTTTCTTGAATTTGATGTCGATTGAAGATAGTTTCTTTAGGTCATGAATAGACCTATTTAAAACCCATGTCAACTGCCACAACCAAGTCGTGCCTTCATCTCCGCTCGCCGGTTGTAATTCTCTCAACCGTCTAAAAACTGCTTTTCGTCCGACCTGCACACCTGCTATTCCGTCTCCCCTTGCCTGTCTTCCATTTGTCTGATCTTTGCATTAATCATCTCTTCGCCCGACTTCATCTTGCCCGACCTACATGCCGTCCGAC